ATAAAAAGATCAATGATGAGGATGCGATATTGATTGTGTATAAAAAATAAACATCTAAATTAATATAATTCATATCATGATTATATGGTGTTAATGGTTATCGCTATAACCCCCCCCCCCCACATGATTCTAGACGGGTTTTCAGAACCCCATTTTTCCGTCAGCGTTCCTTTTCATTTAAAAATGTATTTGCATCCTCACACTCGTCGTTTTCCTAGTTGCTTGCACGTGTTCCATACAAACGCATACTCAACGAAGGTTTGATGCCATTAGCAATATTCTACAGTCTTTGTTTCGAGGTGTCGATACTTGTCATCGGTATGCTTTCATGTTTCACACTTTAGAGGCTGCATGCCCTCTCATAGTTACTTGAATCAAAAGATATCTATTTAGACCACTCTTCAAGCAAGCTTAACTATCCTACAATAGGCTACAGGCAGACATTCGACTCCCAAAAATATAGGAGGGTAACGAATTATTCAATGCTTGATTTAAGTTATGGAGAAGCGATTGCAGGCACTACTTTGACTAACAGGAATAGTAACATCTTTCCTAGAGTTCACAACTTATTCATGGGGTTAATCGTCCGCATAGTATGATGCGTATGGATCATCAAATACCTACTTCTTGAACGCTAAGGTGAAGCAGGGATAATCCCTACCAATAAATTGGATATTTTACAATGACCTATAAGAGACGTGCTCGCGATTCATTTATGGGAATCTGGGTCTACTGAAAGTCCGACTGCCAGCACAATGGAAGAGAGAATGCAAATTATTGCCCCCCCCCCAGATGTGACGAGCGCAATTTAAGGGCATTTAAGGAGTTCGCGCCTTAAGTACGGTTGGTGGAATTCTATCAGTGTCTCATTAGCCAATCTTACAAAAAGCTCTAGCAATAAATTTTCGATGTTTTTTTCTCTTACTCTGTAATTCTTCATTTAATCGTAGTCAATTTTTGTCAACGTTGTAGCATTTAAGCTAAGTGTTTGAAACGTTCATGTTCAAATGGAGATGTTCTATAAGCCGATTTGGAGTTTCATGGGAATTTTCGTAGAATGTAGAAGACTTAATGACCTGAGCATGAATGGTCTTTCCTTGTCTCCAAATGTGTCTAGATTAGCTACTTTATGAGTGGCAAAGAAATATGAACTCGACCAAATGTGTATCTTCAAAGGCTTTCCAGATTCTGTACGTAGTGCAGCATACTTTGTACGAAAATTAAATGGCTCTATTATAGGAATATAGTGATTTTAATTCAAAGCAGCAGATCGGTTTGATATTTTAGCGACCAGGCAGTGACGTTGGACAAGTAACCCCGAAATTTGGAATTGTATGCATATTTGAACTTTAGAATGCCATAAATACCACTATTATGTCTAAATAATACATATTAACAAGAAGTCATGTGACAAGAAATATCCTAGTACAGAGCGTGTCATAATTAAAGGCTGCATGCAAGGTGTGCCATTTTCTATCAAGATTAAATTAAGCATATTAGAACTTCATTACTGAGCCATGAATTTCTACTCACTCTACCTTATTGAATAGCCCAAGTGGAGTTTATCGAATAATGTGCCACGAAGTACATGTGAACTGCATTTTGAGACTTCAATAGAATAAGTGATTGAATAGATACTACACTTACAAGTGTCGAGTGAAGAATGGCACTTGATTGATTCTTAGTGAAGATAACATGCAATTGCCATAACGTGGGTGACTCTTCAGAAGTAGACATAACTTCCAGACCTCTTAAAGTAAATTAGCCATATGACTGAAATTAAAATGCCTAGGAAAGTTTCAGGAAGTATATGAGGCCAATAGTAATCAAATACTTATTACCTAATAATTTCAAGGTACTCCAGTCAAAGATATAACTGTTCTGCCAGCAATAATGCATTAATTTTTAATAAGCAATAGATCAAGAGCAGAAATTCTTAGAATTTGGTAAAATTAAAAATGACGAAAGTCTATAAATATTAGGAAAAAGTCATTAGACAACATGGACGAGCATTCAAATTAACCAACCAAATAAAAACTCATCATTCGATAGGCATCAATTCATTAATGAACAAAGACCATTAGACCTTAAATATTAAATCAAATAGCTATTAGTGATAAGAAAATTAGTCTTGTGTGCACGTCATAAAGTCAAAGTGGGATTCTTTTAACCACAACCATTCTCACCTTATAAGTTCTCGCCTCTAGCAAGGTCATGGCAATCTACTCAAATACCTGGTTCCTCTGCCAACGATAACCGATTAGTTTTCAATACTTAATGGTGTTATTCCAGAAATTCTTAACGTTTGCAGGTGTCATAATTCTTTGGAAGTGCCACCATGGGATTGTCTTGACTATTTGAAGAAAAGTGCATCGAAATAGTCTCAGCATTTGCACATATTAGCCGTCTGATCACTAAGCCTTAAATCTAACGCACAATTAATTCACGCAGAAACTCAGAGGACAAACCCTGAAGTTGAGATATAAAATAGTCTTAGAATCAATGAAATAAAGCAAATAGGGAAAGATATGTACAATTTCTTTTCGTACCCTTTACTATCGATTCCTCCTCTGTCAACCCTCTCCCCACCCCCTATCAGTCTCACTTTTCCTTGTGATTAGAGGCTTTTCACCTCTTATAATAGCATTTTTAGATTTCTTCGTTAATAATAGAACTGCCAACTCTGTTCCTCCGAGGAGGCACTCAAAGCGTCCTCCATCATGTTCGAAGTTGATCGGGAAAATGCTAAATAAGCAGAAAATACTTATAAAATTGAGTGAAAGACTTTAATGAATGCGAACTCTTGAACAGGTAGAGGCTCCAGAAGCAGACGATTGTAACTGCTAATTGCACATGAGAAAATCACATATTTATGGAGGCGGAACAAATCAATTCACTAGTCTACAAAAGTTATGAATCATAAATATAGGCTACGCTCATGGAAGATAAATATTAACCTTGGCTGCGAAAACAATAAGAAAGTAGCATTAAAATTCACTTGTAAAATGGAGCTGAGTCCCTATTATGAGTCATATAATGGTAATAATGTGTAATAAATAATAATTTAATAAAAGAATGTTGGATTACCCTGGTGTAGAATTGCACTCTTTTGTCATTAAAAATTTCGCTATTAAATGAAGAGGAAATTTAAGCAGCGCAGAGTAGCCATATTAGTCTAGATCGTGGGCCAACGTAAAGAATTCCAACGATACTTCGACTAACATCCCCAGATTAAGTATACCCATTTCACTTCCACTAATAATACGGTCATTAATGAATAAGTTAACAGCACAGTATGTATGCAATCTCATATCCCAATCCTGGTGTTGGCTTCTTAGTCTCAGAGACGGGAGAAGCGATTGCAGGCACTACTTCAACAAACGGGAAGAATTATGGAAACGGGTTACATCCCACGTCTAGTATAAACCTTAATGCTTTGCTGGCAAAAAGATGCTTATTGCAGTTAAAGGTGAATGCCATGGTAGTCGGGCTCTCAGTGATGGATCACAATGACCACCATCGGTGTCAAGCCTGTCTACACAAAAAATGTAATTCTCTAGTCGAGGCGTTTTCTCTCAGGTCATTATATGCAGTCCCAGTGCATTATAGACAATTGTCTACTGTGAACACAATTTAAGTAGCTTGTACATAGTAAACTAAACGAAATAAGCAGGTGAAAACTTTCACATCACAATTCACATTCTAATGTATCCGCAGATGGCTAATAAAATTCCCTTAGTTCTGCCTGTAGTCAGAAGTCTCATAACCGTCATTCCATAATGGAACCTATCCTGCGTCCTTCTTTCTTGATAACCCGCTTATGCTTGAGCGACCATAAAGTGAAAATCGAAACCAGGTTTGGTTGTAATCATTACTCAAAAGAACATAGCTCATCATATTGGAGCAGTGAACTTTAGTTCACGACCATGTTCTGACACGAGGATGAGTCAAAAGTTCTCAGACAAAAGCCATAACTTTAAATAGAACCAGTTTAAACATGTCTTCAGAGCTTTCTTTAATTACATACAACTGTCAGATCACTGCCAGGATCAAGACAGGTTGCATCTCAAAATAGCTGGCAATTTTCAACCTTTTGAATAGCATATGTTGAGATCAGAGCTAACAAAATTCAATGAAAACAGTGGCATCCAAGGGAACATCTGGGCCCGTCGAGTTCAAAGCTGAAAGATCCGTTAAGAAGGTCATGGGGACTATTTTTTGGGGTTCAAAAGGAGTGGTATTGATAGGCTTTCTGGAAGGGCAAAAAACGATCACTACACTTTTGAAGAATTTGAAAGCACCCCTCGCCAGAAATAAACGGTCCGGGAAACTACATGGCCCAATTTCGCTTCATCATGACAATGCCTTTGCACATTCTTCATGAGCTGTAGGGGCCCTGTTGCGCGAATTTCGATGAGAAACACTTGCACGTCCTCCTTATCGTCCAGACCCAGTTCCCTCAGACTCGTTTCTGCTTCCAAAACTGAATAAACACCTTAAAGGCACCCAATTTACGTCTTTAGATGAAGCGAAAAAACACGCATTTGCAGAGTGTCAGAGGCAGCTCCAAAAATTATACCATGAGGAGACTTACAAGCGGAACCATTGAATAAAAACGTGTATAGACAACAATGGAGCCTATGGGGAAAGTTGAATTTAATCACTTATTAATAAAAAAATATAGAATTTGTCTGATAGCTTTTTGACTCACCCTCGTAAATGGCAGTAAGGACCTGTGTTACAAAAGGCTCAATTACTCACATTCAATAGTCAATGTAATCAACCATCAACGATACGGCAAGACTATGGTACAGATAATCCATCATTGTCAGGCAAAAAACTACCATATACTAGAAAACAATATAGTAGTGATGAAGTGGAGAAAGGAGGTCAAAATCATCGGGGAGTAGAAAAAATGGCATTAGGTACCAAAGGAATACGTAGTTCGGGAAATAAGAAAAGGATCGAGAGAGCGAAAATGAAAGAGGGGAAGCATCTGATTAAAAAGCACTAGTGCGACTAGTCTGCATCGAACGCAACACCTTCCAGCATTGTGTTGTCCCCGAAATCAGTTGATGTTGGCTGTTCGTATCCTCCTAAAAGGCAAATAAGTGCAAAGCTACTAAGACAAAACCAAATATCTCAATACGTAAACATCGAACAGCTAAAGTAAACGAACAAGCAAGAAAAGCAAGACGTGTTATTAGTTTGTGAGTAGTCTGTGTTGAGTCTAGAGGTACTCACATAGTCCTCATCGATCAGAATTGGAGAATTTATATCTTGATATGAAAATCGAGCAGCTGGAAATGATGCACGCCTTTTAATCAGAGTTCTCTTAGGCCTTGGACTCGGATACTCGCTAGTAGATTTATTTCGAGTATAGAGAAAGTCAACCCGAGAGACGCTTTGAGAAGTTCTTAATTTCTTTTGACTTCGTCCTGAATTAAGCTCAATAACTTAGTATTTGACAATTGACACAATCTATCAGGAGTTAGCCGAGGTTGCTACTGATTTGATTTAATTGAGAAAAAAGTAAAAAGCGAACAATGCAAGCAGGGCAAAAAAGACGTTCAGAACAACTAACGGAACACGGCAAACTAACCAAACACAGCAGAAGGGGAACTGTGTGAAAGGTGATAACGACTAGTCTACTTGTTCACAACTCACCATTGTTATTAGTACCGTTAATTACTCCATTGATTTCGTAGCTAGAATCTTCAAAAGTGCATTCATTGTTCCTCAGTGGCATGTGGCCATTCTTGGCACAAAAATCATCCAGATTGTCATAGAAGCATTCGCCTTCCAATATGTCATCATCTTTAATGTCGTGGCCTAGAGTCAAGTTCAAGCAAACAACAGCATAGAAGGGGGAGGTTACAAGCAAACAGAATTAGGATTAGACCTGCATAGTGAGCAAGCACAAATGAAGACGGGCTTACCATTTCCAAACCCGAAATTCTCATTGTCTGTAGGAGGTTGAATATCATCAAAGTTATTGTGCTCACGATCCTCGTTGAAAACTCCACCACCACTGCTATCGAAATGACGTTCTGGGAGAGCGACAGTTGAATCTAGAAGATCGGAACCGTTACCACCACCATAGAAGGGTTGACCCATGTTATCATCGACGCCCCCATAGAAAGCACCGGCCGCGAAACCAGTGGCAATACCTGGAACTAGGAGTCCTGGCGGTCCGGCTTGGAGTTGAACGTCAAGATTGTCACCCACATCTAGATAGTAATGGATAAAATAAGTAGATAATATTGGAGTCAGACATAAAGCAACACTTAAAAAAGTAAGCAAGATACCTTTAGGAAGGCGACGGTTCTTAGCGTGATGATGAGCAGCCATGAGGCCTAAACCGGTTGCAGCCACACCAGCTATGTGTTTAAAATTATGGAGATTCTCGTGACCACTATCAGGCACAATAGACGGAGCAGCAGCAATGGATGAGCTTGATTGTCTAGATGAATCCCTCACAATGGTCAGGGTCACGGGGGTATCACATCGTGACCTCCATATTGACTCAATCGATTCAGTAATAGACTCTGAGTCTTGACCCAAAGCAAAGAGAAGACGTTCCTCAATTCCAATAATTCGATCACCAACGCGCAGCCCAGAGGCAGCGGCAGCTGATCCAGGTACAAGATTAATGACTCTTTGATCTGAGCATGAATTACGAGTAGCATGAAGTGTGAGACCCAATTTAGCATTAGTAGCATCCAGCGGTGGAAGCGGCAGTTGGATTTGTCGCATCTTGAAGTTGCCAGCATCCTTTTCATCGTCTTCGTCAATACTATCGCCCCCATAAATCGTAGCCCCAACATGGAACCTTTCACTAAGGTTACCTACTGGCGAAAGTGACTTTCCAGTAGTAGGAATGTGCGTGTTCTCCACGACAACAGATAGTGGACTAGTTGCTTTTACTGCGTTTGTCTCATCAGTTTCCGTGACGGTTGGCAGAACCCTAGGTGAAGGTGCGGGGGAGAAGTCTACGTTGTCTAATTGAAGTAAGGAGGATTTGGAGATGTTGGCATGTTTGCAAGGAGGAAGACGACCGAAATCAAATGTAAGGTTATCAAGGTTTCTAGAGAATTTTTGGAGATCGTCAATTGTTAACCAGCCCACTGGCTCCCGATCGATACCTAATAATCGGTCACCAACCTATGCAAAGCAGAAAAGAGACATCAGTAAGCCTCAGGGTGATAATGTTTAGTAAGTAGATTTTAGTACACAATACCTGTAGCATTCCACAACGCGCAGCGGCAGAATCTGGTTGGATGCTATCGATAATGAGATTACCTGGAGCGTATAAGGTTTCATTTCCTGAGGCCTGACGAAAGCTTAAACCGAAAATGAAAGTTGGTTCGGGATTGGATGCCGTTTGCTGTTCAAGGACAGGTAGAACGGGTGCAGAAACAGATATTTCCAAGTCTTTCTTCGGGGAAGTCTTAGCAGGATTTGTGAGCAATACAGTGAATAGTCGCAATCGAGGAACTAAGTGTATAAGAAGCACAAAATTGATAAAAAGTTACACTGAGAAAATTCAAAGGTAAAGTTATTAATAGGTTATTAATCGGCGTCAGATACATGCTTAAATAGCACCTATTTGGTGATGATCAACGAACCTATTTGCATGGAAAGGGTAAAAACAACACAGCTTTGAAGATACTGAAGCATTAATGAAACCACATCCAAATGATATGCTTAGCTTTACAACAGCACATAAACGAAGTTAACCCATGCCACAACAGAAATAACATGCTTACTTCAAGGTTCAGATCCCTTTCAGGCGAAACAACTTGCATGAAATAAACAGTCCACGGAGTGACAAAATAGAATGAATTTACAATCGAGAGAGGGATAAGCTATTCTGTGCACAAGGGATTATTAGAAATACTACATGCAAGGAAGGGGAAGGAGGTTATTTGGATTTGCCTGAACCAAGGTAAGGAGGACAGAAGACTGAGAGTAATTAAATCGGTCTACTGATTCATTATTTAAGGAGTAAAAGAACCGTGGCTTACTCGGATAACCACTTGGAGGCTTTGGAATGCCTGTTTTCAGGAGGACATGGGTCGAACATTGCTGTAAATATAAAGAGATAAAACAGACGATAATAAATGCATAAGTTTATAAAGCCCAAATGGTAGATCATACCTTGAGCATAGCCATTACGTCATCAGAAGAAGCTTTGTGGACGTCCAAACCATCGACTTCAAGAATTACGTCACCAGGATGCAAAACTGGTGCTCGAGAGGCAGGACTTCCAGGAGTCTAAAATTAAGGCAAAATAATAAAAACAAATAGCTCATAAAGGCTCACTTCTCATTTGATTAAAAACATTTTAATCTCATATTTTTGGCAAATTTATGCTTTTAAGTCCGCCTAACGTCATAAATCAGCATTCCTTACACTGTGGCTATAAAGAGAAAACGAGTAAACCCTTGCCATGTTTAAGAATAAAATCTTCACAAGATATTTAAGGGAAGCGCGTTACTATTACTTAAATGGAGAATACACGAGGTACCCAGAACCTACTATTGCGTTAAAACTCCTATTCGAATGCTCTGCAATCACCCAGAAACAATGACATCCGACTTGATAGACGGTCGCACTGACTACTGTGTAAATTGAACGGAACTATTGCATAGTATCTGGCCGCTCACTTTAAATATCCCATTGACATAAACTGCGTGTAAGAGAAGTTGCGCGCAAATAATTACCACAATTTAAATCACTTATCAATACGTGACAATCATTTTTCCTAAAGATCATCCTTGATATCTCCTTTTAGACGCTGAGTTCGGCGGTTCTATCTTCTTATTATTAGTGATGTGTGCCGAAGACAAAATTTCATGCTTTTTAATATTGTAACCATTTTAATAACTCCAAAAAATTAGGAATCTTTATCAAATTCAATAGAATTTATTGGTTGTTTACCGACAAATAATTTTTGAACAAATGGCCGGATTCGTTAACCTCTGCACCAACACAATACGATTTACTCAGAGAGTTAATGGCGTAAAAACAAAACACGTTCTACTGCTGCTATAGTTCATTCAACCAGGGGTAAACTTCAACACAGCCTTCATGGAAATTCAAAACTACTACAAGCAATTAAAAATGATGCTTATTTCCAAACTCTGTTCAGGTTTCTTTTGGACTTTATTTCTATTCGGCGCGTTTTACTTGAGAGGTGATCATCCTGCTGATACGACAGCCTTCGTCTTCTTTTCGACTAAATAAGCGGAACTAGCGTGTACTCAATCTGTGATGCCTAAGCCGTAACTTATCATTGGTAACAGAAAATTTCTATACAGAAGTATGTAAATAGAATACATACGATGTTTGCAATAACAACTCCACCAAATTGATTGTCTTCTAAGGCGAGACCAAATGCAGTTCCAGGTTGTTTCTGAAGAACTACATTGTAGGTTTGCATAATGTCAGCGAGAGAGAAAGAGAAAGTTCCACTACCACGTAGAATTGTCAACAAAAGACGGTCCTTTGTCTCTCTTAAGGTCTAAAAATAAGAAAACACATAATAAACATGCTACTTATACTTTATGAACAGAGTTGTTGCGTAAGGCATACCGAAGTGGCGGCTGCATGAGTAACATTACGGAGATCAACACCATTCACCGCGAGAATTCGGTCATAAGCTTGAAGTCTACCGTCCCTGTCTATAGTTCCCTCTTTGTGAATCTTTTCAATAAATACACCACCCTAGAGAAGA